AATCCTACTAGAGTTTGTAAGACACTCTGCTCCCACTATTGTAGGATTGCCATCTGATTGTACTTTCGCTTTCTTTGCTCTGTGAAACAGAAAATTTTCTGTAAGCAATACTTTGATCTAGATTTTCTGACATGCGGTGGAAAGTCATTGTTTCAGAATTTAAACCAAGATTTATTAATTACATGGTATGCATACAATGAATGTAAACAGTGATTGGGATAAGCTAGGGAGTAAATGTGACAATGGCACACTCCTAGTCAGTGTCAATGTGACATTTCAAAATTCAATGCGCCAAACAGACTTTTTAATGGGACATTTCCTAGTTACAAACTTGCAATTGATTAGTTGCTGTTAGAATTTCAGTTGACTTTACTTAATTGAAATTGTCAAATTATTGAATGACAACATTAAAAGATACAAAATTCGTATATTTAAATTCGCAAGTGTCAGAAAATAAATAAACACTGCAAATTAATTTCAATTCTTTATTTTTTGTCTCCGATGTTTGACATCTTTAAAATGATTTAAAGCCTGGTTTCGATCTATACTGCTTCCCTCCAGTTCATGTTAAATTTTCGTTTTGTTTTTTTTCCTCCGAGACTACATCATCAGTCTTACCGCCAGATTCATCTCCATTCATTCTGTCAGCATGTTATACTTCTTCCGAGTCATTTTCTACCCATTTACTTGAATTCTGTTTGTTAGGATTGTTAAAATTAAGAAAAGTCTGCCCTTTATCGGTACGAGGTATTTTCTTAGGCAGCATGCTGCACGCCTGACACCAGTTTATTTCGTGCGCATTAGCCAATCAGAAAACACGTAACTGTTTGATTAGATACTGGAGTAAAGAAAGTCATAAGAACGCTTTAATTGAACGACATTAAATACTATTTTATCAGCGTAAATTGACAGCGATTGTTTTGGGAAATACTACAAGCACTTGGGGGAAATCTCAAAGTTTAAAAGTATGTAGTGCATGATTATATATGCGCCACGATGGCGCAGCGTTTTTAATTTTAATGTGACATTTTAAAATTTAATGCGACTATGGCGCAGGGTGCGTGCTTATCCCAATCACTGTGTAAAATACACTGAAGGGAGTGGAGTAACAGGCTATAAAGCTTATTTTGGCCAGCTCCCACATTACTCTTCCTGAGCTAGAAATTAAAATTTTTATCTTGTAGTAGCTTTATCAATAAATATATTCATCTTCAAGAGTTTGACATCTGGTTTATGACAAAACATTGTTTACCAATTTCTTTTTTCAAAAACATGGCTCAAGTGAGTTTAAAACTGTAAACTTACTGTGGTTCCTCTTCTGAGGTTTCGTTTTCAAACTTCTCCATAAGAACCAGTGGGGTGTGGCTGGCACTGGGGCCGAGGAATGACTGGGGGTCTACACTGCTGACATAGGTATACAGACACTCCAGGAACAGGACCACGGTAGTGTACAACACCTGTCGAGTCTGCTCAGGTGAGTGGGACTGACGAGCTCTGTTATACAGGCTGTATATGTTCTTATACTGGATTTCTCTGTAAATTAACCAAGGAAAACCATTGTTGAAGACTCTTGTACCAATTTTATTCCTTTTCAAATTGTAGAAAACACTAAAATTTAGCATCCTCCTTAAACAGCAAATACAAGAATATTCCCACCCTTGGCCTATCCTGTAGGACTCACCTTGGTTCACTAAACAGGTCGGGTGGGACGTCCCAGTCCATTAGCTGACCCAGGAGTATGAGGAGCTTCAGAAGACTCCCCCAGGGATCGCTGACCTGACACTCCTTGTCAAACAGGCCAGGGATACTCACTCTGTTACTTAACTTAGTAGGAGACAGCATCTCTATAACATAAATATAGTCATTGTTCATTTGTATGATATATTCATTGGTCATTGCTATGAATACCATGTTGATTGTAAATTGTATTGTAATAGAGCTCAAGTGTATAAAGACAGAGGTTCAAAGAACAAGGTCAAATCTTCATTGCTCTGAGGGAGATGCTTAAAAGGTTATTTTTAATGTCAGAAAATATTTTCAAAAAATCAAGCATTATTTTTTATATGCAATCAAGTATATACTTTTAGTAATCCATTTCAAGCAAAAAAAACTTTATGTATACTGTGTATAGGGTAAATAAACATTTATTTGAATGATAAACAGTTAAGATTTAGTGATCCACTGAACCTGGAGAATTTCTGGTATTTCCGTTAAAGCTTGGTGACTGGGTGACATACATGATGTAGAATTCTACAGACATCTGTAGCCATCTGTAGACCTGAGCTTTCTGCACCTCAAGTTTCTTTACCTTCTGAAGAACTAATGGTAGGACATCACACACTGAAAAAGAGTTACAGCATTATATGAATTTAAAATAAAAATTGCTACATTCATTGTTCTGGACATTTTCTCTCTATAATAATGATATTCAATATACTGTATCTTCAAGTAAATCAATTTTCTCAAATGAAATTCATGGAAATTGAATCCCAGCTTCCCCCTCTAAAAAAAATAAACAGTTTAACCCAGTATGATCAACATGAATTTTGTGGGAGAAGAAACTGATCTAATTTTTTAAGTGCAGTGTTTAAATAGGAGGTTGTTGGGTTATGTTCTAGTGATAAATCCACTCAGATATAGGATCCTGTTTGCCAGGCAATAGCTTACACTATAGAGCCCAGCTAAAAATTAAAATTATCAGCATACACCTACCAAATAGTTTTCTGTAGCAGTTGACTGGATACTTGATCTTTGCTTCCAGTTCTGCTTGTTGGAGGGTGTCAAGTAATTTCAGCTACACATAAAAAATAAATACTGTGATTTGTTAATCTGAACTCATACAATAGGCAAAAGTTTAATCATATCATAATCATATCCAAAATACCTACCCCATGCTCAAACACCAGATTTGGGAACTTCCTCATGGCCAGGAGGAGAAGTCGACACTGTTCAAGAGTATTACTGATTTTCTGTGCTACACTGAGTAACATCTGGCATTGTGATGGTGTGGAGACAGCAGCAAAAATCTCTGGAAAAGACAGACTTAGATTGGTCATAGTCATTGTTAACACAGCTTACAAACCTATCACAGGCAGTGTTAAATGCAAAGTTATGACAATTATTCATAAGAATCTAAAATGGGAAGATATGAATTTCATTATAAGATTTTAAAATTTTCATACACATATGTAATAATCACATAATGATGATAAACTTTTACTCACCAGTAAGAAAGTTCTTGTGGCTATTTGCTGACATTTCGGTTTGAAGAATTTCTAATATTTCCTGTATTTCCTCCCAAAGTTGAGATTCATTTGGAAATAAAACAAACCTAAGAACATATTCAATATCTATATGTAAGATTATGATGTAGACATCATTTAAGAGCAATTAAAGCCATAAATTCAATAGGGAAAAAAGGGCATTAATAAAGTTTTAAAACCTACATTTCTTCTAGTAATTTTGCTGCCTCTTTTACATTTCTCCCAGCTTTCTCCAAAGAATATGCTTCAAACTATCAAAATAAAATAGTAAATGTTGTCTTTGTACATGCAGTTTTAATGCTGGTATATTTGCACCAACGGAATAATACAGGGAAAGTGAAAACCTCTGTAATGTAATTATGAAATTTAGAGGTCATACAAATATTACCTGGATATATACAAAGAGTTACATTTTGGTGCTGTGCAGCAATATCTTTCAAATGAAGTGTTCTATAAATACCCTGGTTAATTCTGGTAATGCATAAATAGCACATAAAAATGTGCCTCCTTTGAAAACTTATCAGATTAATGAGACGTAATTACTCAAGATTCTGAACTAGGTCCTAGAAATTCAGTGAACTTGAAGGTTATGTTTGGAAGAGTACTGCTTGAGATTTAGGAGAACTTCAAATATTCATCTTAGAAATAGTCGACATTAGTTCTATTCTAAGGGAAAATTTATGTATATTCGACCACTGGGATGATCAAAAGTTGACCTAGTTATGACAAGTTTAGATTATTAGAATCTATGTTGTGTGACCATATCACATCGTACATGTATATGGATTTTACCATACATGTACATGGTCCAATGGATAATATATTGAATTCTGATCAGGATCACTCATGTGTTCTATTAGATAGAAAGAGAATTTCCATGAAAATATTTGACTTATGGAATAAGCTTGATGTCTTTTCTTCATGATTGTATAGAAAACATCGATATTGATATGTGTGTTGATAATCTGTAAAAAGTAAGATAAATTTTGTGGCACACAAAGAAACAGCATTCTTTTCTTTATCAGTAATCTGCAACCAAAGCCTGTAAGAAGTGTTCTTTTTCGTATTACCGTTAAAAAATGAAACAGCTTACCAACAGACATTACGGTTACAATGTCAATTCTTTGATAACATGGATAAGATTTTTAGAGATCAACAGCTGAATGCTGATCAAGTGACCAACAGCAGACCAAGAAAAAAACTTAATTTATTTTATTTAGACTTTTTAAATCCTTTTTATGAATTTTACATGCAACATCAAACACATCTATCAGAATTTGTAATGCAACGAAGAAACCAAGACAGGGGGGAGAAGAAAAAAATCTTATTTTTTATGGCACCTGTGGAAAAAAATTTCGACGGTTCAGAACCTGTCATACTACCTGTATTGAAAAGTTGTTAGGAAATAAAGATCTGGCTGTTATCATCCAGGCTTTTGCTGCATATGGATCATTCTTACTAGGTTTCATACAAGCTCTAGCACGAGATATGAGCCAATTTTCATCGCTCATAGATTTTTCAGACATGGTTGCAGCCATGTTTACAACAATGGATTGTCGATCTCGACCTAAAAATAATGAAGTATTTTTTCAGACAATTATCTTAATCAATCAATTGAATTCTTACACAAGCAATACATATGGTATTTTTAAAAGCACAAGAATTCTGCCCACTTTTGTTTAAAAATCCTACAAAATCGTTTTTTATTTATTTGAACGGGATCGGGATTCATGACAGAAAGAGTAAAAAATGAGGCAGACGATTGATGATGGGATCTACCTGTTAACGATTTGTAAAGATTGTTATCACGAATTAATACTGATTAAGTATGGATTTATTGTATGCATGGTTTGTGAAAATATTTATAACTTATTACACGTAATTATTGCCTACGTTTTAACAGTAATTAGAAGATAACGGAGGCATGTATAATAGAGCATATGTCTCTCATCTTCCCAAGTCAATGGTTTCTGATCCACTCCGCTCCACATAAACATTTTATGCGGAGTGGAGGGGATCAGAAACCCAAGTTGACTTGGGAAGATGTATGTCTCTGGAAGATATCACTGGATATGGCCAGAAACAAGGCTACATAAACAGCTGATAAACAGTCCGTATCTATATTGTAATCATATAACAAAAAGATAAATAGAAATTGTACCCTAGGGTACAAAAGTATCACCTCAAAACAGTACCAGTTTTATGCCATATATGAATTATTCTCTTATTAGTCTCAAGTCAAAGCACAGGGGCTTGCACCTGGCATGTAATAATTATTTATTTTAGAAAAATCATATTTAACTTTAAGAAATGACTCTAATTCTTGACCAAAGTATTCGATATAACCTGGTTCGGGTCAGTTTACACTTTATAAACTGCGAAACAGATTGTAAAAAAGCGTAAACTGACCCAAACCAGGTTATACTCGAAGAATTTGGCCAAGAATTATAGAGTTATTCCTTATAATTTAATTTTAAAATAATTAATAAACAACCGTGGATGTAAAATTGTGCTGCTTTTTATGAAAATTTGCCGCTCAATAATACATTAGTAACAGAAGTGATTGGAAACTATGAATACACAGATCTAGCAGCCATGATGTTTGTTTACATTAGGTAAGATCAAGCTACTGTTTGAACATGTTGAAGTTAAAGGTACATTTATTAAATCTGGAATTTTCCATGAATCCCAAGGACTGAAAAGGAGGGGATTGCATGGATACAGATGATTCAGCTGGTTGTCAATTCGGTGTGTCTCCATACCAAACCAGGTTATTAAGAAATAGTTTGCATTCCTTTTTAGAAATCAACCAATGAGAGACTAGAATACAAACAAAATTAAATTATAATTTATTATTACTGACTTAGGGATGTCAACGAGTACCCGGTTAACCGGGTACTCGATCGAACGTCCGAGTATCGAATACTAAAATCGGTACTCGGTTACTCGGATGTATATTTTTGAATATTTCTAAGCTTATTTATTAATGAATTAAACAATCTGTTTTAAAAGGTAAATTACTCATTGCACTTGTACATACAGTAATTAGGGTTTCCTACTCCTCTATGACCGTTATCGCCCGTGGCAGTGTTTATACAGTAATTATCGTGACCAAGCGCCTGTTACCTGGCTTTTCTCACCTTCGGCTGTCTTCTACCCTTATTTTTTGATTTTCTTTAATTATTTGTTTTCACTGAACATCTTTTAAGGTCTGTTATGATTAAATAAATTAGATAATTTTGTCAATTCTCCGAGAAGCCGTAATTTCTCGGGAATAGAGACAGATGATATTACACGCGCGACTGTTGATATGGTTGTGTTTCATTACATGCCAATACATGTACAAATAGTTGACGGCAAAGGCTAAAAAAAATGATGTCCATCATTGCACAAAACTACAAAATACCGTCCCGTGATACTATAAAATCTAGGATCGAAAAGTATACGAAAATCGTAAATCGGCTTTGTTAGAACTTGGTCAAGTTCAAGTCAAACTGTACGACTGATATATACAATGTACCTTGACGTCAAATGCAACAAAGAGTTACATTACAATTACGGAGTAGATTATTTTTTTTAAACAAAAACACCATGAACCACTTACGATTTTATTTCTTGTGTTAATCTGATAAATAAATTGAACTTAAATAAATGTTGTATTAAATTTCGTCGGGCACGAAGTTCTAATCATTGTTACAACAGAAATGTATTTACGTGTAAACCTCCTATCAGAGCATGTGGTTTTATTTCTACAAGTGTTTACAATGTTTTACATTTATTAATTTACTTGTTCATATTTATTTACACTTTTACCGAGTACCCGGGTACTCGATCGGAAAAACGTCCGAGTAACCGAGTATCAAAAATTGACCGATTTGACATCCCTAATTACTGTATATGATTTTTTTTTTAAATAGCAAGCCCCTGTGGTCAAAGGCCCCATTAAAGAGCATGCACTTGCTGACTGTTGCACAAGTTGTTTGTACAATTTTCATCAATATGCATACCAATTTCAAATAGATGTACTTTATACATGTAGACATTTACTCAGGTGTTACATTCTAGTTTAAAAGATAATATTGTCTTGATTATCTGAAAGATTGCTTATAATATCTCTCTTTTACAGAATGAGAAAATCATAAATTTACTGGATGTTCTTAGAAGGTTGAAAATAGAATGACAAAATTAACTATATGAAGTATGTCAGAATTTCAGTCCAAATACAGTAAGTCAGTTTTTAAGATAAATTTCATCATATTCTTTCATAAATCAGAGGCAAAAATGGAGAGCATGCATGTGTATACATGTATTTAATATTTATTTTGGGAAAAAGTGAAATGAAAAAAAAAAAAATAAATTTTCAATTTAAATAATTAATCATGATGTTTATCTTTCAGTGTTCATTTAATATCTTCATGAAATAATTGTTTCATATATTTATTCAGCTCTAAGTTTTCTGGATCAAAGTACATGTACAAGCAAACAAGTAAATTCCTGTGATGTAGAAGCCATTCAGAAGAGAGATCAAATTTCCCATGAAGATGGCCTTCTTGAGGCAAATACATGTTCCAGGTATAAATCTATTTCTCATGCAAAATGATAGATAAACTTTTCAAATATGTTTAAAAGTCGATCTTAAAGATAAGTGTTGAATATTGTTGTTGTTTACATTGCATGGGGATATCTTTTAATCAGAATGAATAATACATTGTTTAATTAGCCTTTCATGATCGAAGGTTAAAATATCAACTATAAAATTTATATTGTACTGCCAAATTCACCAGTACATTATACATTATAACAAAATGTATTAACTTACAAGTGCAATTTTTTTTTATACTGCCTACCGGTACTTAGAAAGGCTGAAGTTTTCACAGGAAATTATAAAAGTCCTGATTTTTGCCATTTCAACAGTGGACGGTCCATATTTAGTAAAGGTAAGTCATACAAATAAAAAAAAAATCACATTTTAGAATGAATGTATATAACCATTTGAAAATCAATGAGTCTTGAACATGCACTGGAGCATTGTCTAACATTTAAATGATAAATTAATGACAATATAACAATAATACACTATTAATATACATAACAAAATAATAAAACCAATTTTAATTTAACAGACATCCCCAAAAAGCCAACTATCATCCTATCAACTGCTGTTCATTATTCAAAGTCTTTCAGAAGTGCAATTAAAGATCCACAGAATGCAAGGTTTATACATTTTATAAATATTTCACTTTGATTCAGATGGGGCTAGCTATAATTTAGTTACTGTATTGTCATTGATTTTGTCAAATAAGTCAAACAGGCAGTAAAACCAACTGTAATTGCTTCAATGGTAATGCAAAATAAGTGCTAACTGGTAGTTCAATCTCAAGAAAAGAGCTATTTTCATTTTAAATCCCAAAGTATGTACATGAATGATAATGATGTAATCAATCATGTTGTACTTATTGAAGCAGACAAAGGATTGATATTGCAAGTGGCATACAACAGCTGAAGAATGGAGTAGCCTCTGAACTTCTGGATTACTCCACTAGGAAGAAAAATAAATCCTGTACTTTTGCTGAGGTGCACAGATCCTCATCATTATCATCAGCTCAACTAGAGAGGTAAGTTTATAGTTAAGTTCATAATAATTGATATACATTTAGATGCAATATATTATCTTCATAGCATAGAGAAAGCAGTGACAAAACAACAAGGAAGAGTACTTATTGTTATTTCAGTAGTGGAATCACCCCAGAGACAAGTGATCTGGAACAGAGTGGAGGAGCATCAAAGACAACAAACAGCTTCTTCAGAAGCACCACTGGTACCAGTGGATACAGCTGCTGGGGAGAGACCAGTTCTAGTGACTGGTCTGTGGGGAGGAAAAAGAACTTGTACCTGTCTGAAACCCCCCTACCTGGAGTGACAATGACTCCTCATACAAGTTTCCTTCCAGGTATCATACAAGTAGATTAAGGATTATCCAACACTTTTAGTCCAGACAGAAAGTTTAATAAAATTTATTTTTTATAGAAAATTTTAAAACAGTTCTATTGCTGGTAGTAGATTTCTTAATATCAATACCCTTTAAACATATAATGTTATATTGATGTATATGATGATATTAATTAATTCAAAGATATTGATATATTTTGCCATTATGATTGTAGGATCAAATCTATTTAAGACACCTTTAAACATGAAACGGAAAGCTACAACCTCTTCAAGTAAAGGAATGGCGTCCTCTTTCTTGGGAAGTTCATCTTGCAAATCTGTGTAATGAAAACTTGTTATTGCAATATTATAGCTATTGCCCTCAAATTGTAACTAAAGTTGTAAATCTTTGCAAAACATTTAAATGTTTTTTAAAGTTAATGTTCATAAACATGAAGTATTAACTTTATACTGTAGTGGTTCTACCTCTGTGCTGGGATCTGGCCGTCAGAGATCATGTGACCCAAAGTCTACACCGCACACCCGGTCAGCTGCCATCAACCCTAACTCAGCAGTCATTGTGGGTAAGTGTAGTGTATACAAATTTTCCCACTGAAAAAATCAAAAGTACTTTGGGAAATTGTCATCATTTTTTATGCCTCCAACATAAAAAATGCAAGGCAATATTGTCACCTTTTTTCCATGCCTCATTCTGTCAATCTGTCATTGTTATTCCATCAAAGTTAGCTTTTCCAGACATTTTTTTGCTCTTCTGAGTCTAAGGCCAAAATAAAATTATAGTTTGTTTGGAATTGCCTCCCACCTCATTGAAATGCCCCCTCCTGAACAAATTTTATTGACCAAAAGTAGGAAGATTTTTTTTTTATTTAATCAATTTTTTTTTGCCCATTACATATATCACATACACCATACAAAACACTGAAATATAGTGTCAGATATATGTAAAATTAGGTTTTTTTGTTGATGTTAGATACTTTTTTTTTAAAGTCAGAAAATGTATTGACTGTTTACTGAGATTTTTATCAAAAAATTAAAATTTATCTTCAATTAAAAAAGAGATAATTTATTAATTCCCTCCTTCCCTCCCGTGTCTGAAACCCTGCAGGCTGCAATTCCAAACAAACGATTTTTTAAGGATGGCCCTTAAGACTCAAAGAGCCAGTGCTTTAGCCATTTGTGTGGTGTGCATCAACTTTTTGGATTGAGCCCTATTGGCCAATATTTATCAAAATTTGCACAGTGTATCCTTGGCCCAAGTGCTCTCATTTGTACTACACATAGATTTGTTACCTTTAAATAAGGTGAGATAAAAACAAAAGTAGTGGTTGCTAAAAAAAACTTTTCTCTCAAGAACCATTGGACAGCCCAGTCATCATCAAACTTTCATTTGAAGTACAAAACATATATAATTTAAAAGAACACTCTGAAGCTATTTAAAACCTATTAGTAATTATGTTTAGATATAGAGATTTCAGTCTGTTTTGCTTTTCAGCACTTGTAGAGGGACGTGGCATGGCAAGAGGAGAGATAGGATTTGCCAGCATTGATCTGAGATCCCCGACACTGAATTTATCTCAGTTTTCAGATACTCAGACATATGTACAGACAATTACAAAGCTGCATAGATGTCAGCCTGTAGAGGTAAAAGTCAATTATTATTAAACTATTGTAACAGAAGAGTTGAATGCTGCTGTAAAATCACATATTTATGTGTGGTAAAATTTTCGGGGTTTGAGAAAAAACTATGGGTTCAAGGGGATTGGATTGAATTGTTGAGTACCCGGTAGTTATGTACATGTATATGACAAAACATGTATACATTTCGTGGTGGACATGAATTTGTGGGTCTCTTCATGTCCCTAAAACAACGAAAATTAAGCCACCAGGAAAATTAA